AGGAGATAAAATAAATATTGATGAAGATTAAGAATTTTGCGTTTTATTTAAAATTTCCGGAAACTTTTCGGTCACATAACGTACAAAAAATAATGCCACGTCTTCGTGGACGAGGAGGAAATATTGGTCGACGGAGTCCGAATTCACAATTACTCTAGAACCGTCGGTTAAATAGATCGGCAGAAAACAATGAAAATGTAAGAAACCAGGATACAATCACACGTACTAATGAAAGTCAAGAGCAACGCAACGAACGCCAGGAAAATTGGGTCAGCTAGTATAGTATAATATTTTTATTAAATTATTTTTAAAAAACTTTTACAGAAACTGTAAAAATGAATTAATCATTTCCTTATTTTCATTTTTTAAATTAAAACTTAAATAAAAACAAAAAAGAATTTAAAACTTTCTCCATATTTTGATAAATGGTTTAGAACCTTTAGAGCTAATATAGTTAACATTTTTGATGCTTTTAAATACACAATTTAATAAAGAAATTATTAATCACTAGCAATGATTACTAGCCCAAAAGTTTATTTTAGTTTAGATGGATTCCCAACTTTTTGTTATTATTAACTTCTATTATATGTTAAATTGACTGAATCCATAGCAATTTTTTTTGTGTGATCTCTCTTGCCGAACGCAAGAGAATACAAAATATATATAATACGAAGCTTACCTACACGTGTACATCTGTATACTAGCCAATCACTACTAGAAATAAATACATATCAATTGAATTGAATCGTGGATTGAATAAATTTGTGAAATAAGCATCCATTCTAATTTTTATAATAAAATTTATTCTGCTTTTTTAGGGACTAGCCAATCAACAGACACCTACAATAATCAGAGAAGAAAATGAAAATGTTTGGCTAACCAGATGTGAAAATAGAAAGACATGAAATAATGATGAGACAATGTGACAAGACAACTTCAATGATAACTAGCGAACTAAGAAGAAACGAATACTGTATTTTATAGAACCACATCTTTATTAACTACGCCTACAATAATCAGAGAAGAAAATGAAAATGTTTGGCTAACCAGATGTGAAAATAGAAAGATATGAAATAATGATGAGACAATGTGACAAGACATCTTCAATGGTAACTAGCGAACTTAGAAGAAAGGAATACTGTATTTTATAGAACCACAAGTTTATTAACTACGTGGTAACTACATGGAAACGCCGACAACCCAAGAGTTAGGTTGATCTAACTAGAGTAACCTAATGTGAAGTAATCTAAGTTAACTTTTACATTAATCTTTTTCACTTCTATGAATAATCATAATAACTTACAGCTTAAGCATGAATTCTTGATTATTCTGATTATTCTTGATTATTCAGATTGATTATTCTAGAAGCATTTTAACACCATACCAATACTTTCACATTGCCATTAGTTTCTGTTAAAGAAAAATAAAAGAAGGGACATAAATTCGATAATGATGTGTTGACCTCTGTAGCTTTTTTAGCATAAAAGAAAAATTTAGGCGATCTTAATAGCCTTTCCAAATTCAGTACTGATTTTATAAGCAAAAAATACCCTGCAGATCGATGGCATCAGACAGTGATATGTTATTTATTTAGTACCTTCTCCAACTAAATAACGTCGACATTTCTTAGTTAGTGATTTCTAAAATATCTCACCACTATTAAAAATATTGAGTGATGGTGGTAAGTATCCCCCGTTTTTTTGTCACTATATGATGTCGCTACTTCGCTACTCATTTATGACAACATCATTCCAATTATATCGAACGAATACGTGTTTGAAAGGTGAAAATTCTGGAAAGTAGTTGTATAATTTGTTGCTGGTGTAAAAAGTTATAGTGATTTAAAATGAAAATTAGTCAAATATTTAAAGCAGTGTTGTCCAAATCAGGTAGGATCGCGGCCTAATTCAAATCACTGAATTGATTGGAGGGCTACAGAAATAAATACATACGTTCATAATTTTTTTGGAGAAAAATAAAAATACAACTATATTATTTAATTTAGTCCCTGGATACTAATTTTATACTAAATTATACTAAAGTTTTTGTCAATTAAATAAATTTACGTGAAGTGTTATAACTTATTTAAAATATTTGAATACACTTATTTGGGATACAATACAAATAATGAATTGTTACCAGAATATAACAAAGAAAAATTTGCCTAAATGTGGTAGATTAGAAAAACGTCGTGGATCGCACAAATTTTAGTCGAGGCCGTGCTTTGGTCAACCCCGATTTAAAGAAATACGTTATGTAATGCTTTATTACTATAACTAGACAAAATATTCATGTTGGTATTCACTGAAGTTAAGCAGTTCTATATATGAAGTTAGTATTCACTGGTATTTACTGAAGTTCTGCATACATCGGGAAAAATTCCGAAATAGAGATTATTTTAAATAACAATAAATCGTCGTTTGGTTTTAGCATATGTGATTTATAATATTCGTAGTCCCTATACCCTACGCTAATTATATCGAACAAGTATATTACAACAGAAAATATTGTTATTATTTAAATTTTATAAAAAGGATTTCAAAAAATTATTACAAAGACAATTTGATAAAGAAACATTATTTAATAATTATTTTTAATTTAATAAAAGTTATTTTTCTAATTTTCGATTGAAATTATTACTTTATCCCAATGCCTATTCTAAACCTATACAATATCTATACAACACTTTTCTACCAATTTACTTCAGTTTGATTGCTTTCTAAATGATATGTATGACCTTTCTTTGCTAAGAAAATTATACAAATTTCTAATCAAAACAAACTGACAATTGCAATGAAAATATTTACAAAGAACATTAACATATTTAAATTACAACTACAAGAAGTACTAGAAATTCCAACATTCCTAAGGAAAAGACGATGTATCTCAAGTAGTACAAGGAAATACGTAGAAATAATGAATACTGCAGTGTATTAAAATCCGTAAATATCGTAAATAACGTAAATTTTGCCTAAAGCACTATGCAAAATAAACCTTCAAAAGAAATCTACTTATTTGCAGTTGATAGTCTTACAATTGTTCAAATGTATGTGAAAAGTTAATAGCAGAAGAGAATGGAGCAGGGATATGTAAAAGTTAAGGAAGAAGAAGCTTAGTATGGCATAAGTCGATGAAGAACGCACTCGCATTGAATGTGCGATATGCATACACATAAGGAACCATACCCGCCAAGTAGAAGTTTTCCCCACATCAACGGAGATGTATTGTGTGTCGTCTTGCTGTTAAAGTGAATATTATTGGTTACATGAATCTGGCGTAAATCAGTTACAGTAGCTACATATCTTTCCACGACTTACCACTCCCCACTTGAAAGTGCCTTTTACAATGTGAATTTATTGAGTTTAAATGCAAATTTCCCGTGTTAAAATTTTGCAAAATTTTCTTTGTGAGAATTAGCAAAAAAAAAAACCAATTTTTGTAAGTTTTCATGTAGCAAACGAAGTTGAAATTCAGAAGTTAGTGAAGTGGGGGAGAATTGAGAACATAAGTTGACAATGTTGATTCAAGCAGTACAAGTAGTTAAATTTGTAGAAGATTAAGTGTGGATTGCTGTGATGACAATTACTCAAGGTTTATACATTTTAGAAAATAAATTAAGAATTAAAAACTCAGAACAAGAAGAAAGTTTTGTTTTGGTTTTGTTGAAGCTTTAATACCCTTCACACAAATCGTTGTATTATAGTTATTATTAGTTATAATGTTAAAAATAATAGTTATCATTTGAACAGATGTTGTGTTTGGGGGCTACTTGCTATAACTAAGCAATAGACCAAATTTTGATCACCTAGGATTAAAAACTGTAACCGCCCAAAACAAGTATTACATGTTTAACCCAAAAACTGGGAGACAAATTTATCGCCATTCAGATAGGCACAAATATATATAACTTACATATTGTTCGAAAATTTTTTCAAAACCAATAGTTTTTTTTCACTACTAAATGAAAACTGTAAAAAATTGAAGATGTCTTCATATTATATTATAAAATTTACATTAATATTATATACACAGAAGGCTATAAGTTTTAAGAAATACTCATTTTTTGAATTATTACACATATTTTTTTTTATTTATTCAATTATACAAATCTTAATTTTTAATCGTTAACGTATCTTGCATATTATCACCAACATTTGTACTAGATCCTATATATCTTTAACCATAGAATCCAAATCCTGGACGGAATAACCCACCACCAAATCCTGGTCTTCCATAGAAACCACCACCGAAGCCTGGACGTCCGTAATAGCCACCTCCGAAACCTGGTCTACCAAAGCCACCGAAACCACCTCCATAGTAAGGATTGAAACCGAATTGTCGTTTATTTCTGATCCATTCCTGTTGATTTGATTCTTCAGCTACAGCCAAAGCACACAGGATGGCTGCAATGATGGCAAATACAATAAAAAAACGCATCTTTACTACTCGTTTGTTACTTTTAATTCACTTCAATAATTTTTTGAAGACTGTTCCATTCACAAAATCTTTCACATCTTTTTATACACAAAATTTGTTTGGAAATTGATATCATATTGCTATAAAATATTAAAATATTATAAACATATAATTTGTTAATATTTTTAATGTCTTATATTATAAAACGAAAGCGCAAAAGATAAATTATTTATTTTCCCTTTTCTAAATCAGCTGTACAATCAAGTAATCATAATAAAATGCATATTATGAGTTACAAAAACAAATGTAGGCAAACCTTATGAGCAAAACAAATTATATTATTTGCACATAAATTGTATATACATACATATACTGCACAAAAACAACGATCTTGCCAAAGTTGCTAAAAAAAATGCACACGTTTCGCATAAGCAAATGTACAATCAGTCAAACCAAAAAAGAAAAACAACAAAATGTTTACACATTAGCTTAAAACAAAAAACAAAAAAATAAAATTGGGCAAAACCACCCTTAAATGCATGCTCATTACTCAGCTTTTTATGATAATTTTTTTCTCAAATATTTTTACTAAGTGCATTCATATTTAATTGAAATTCAAATTTTTAAAGTATATTTGGTATTGTTATCACATTGCTACAAAATATTGAAATATATAATTTTAAAAATTTTATATATACATGCATATTATCACTAGACGATATTAATAAAAATTAGTTATTAAAATTATTTATTATATTCAGAAATATAAAAATACACATATACATTGAAAAATTAAACATTGTACGCAATTAACCATTTAATAAATATTCAATTAAAAATTATTGCACATACAAAACCAAATATACATCCAGCATAAGACTTTGTCTAAAAATTTTATTCTTAAACTAGATATTACCATATTACTACTCATTGTTGTTATTATAATTTTTAAATCGTATTGAGCAATAAAAATAATTCTTAAAACATAAATGTAGGCATAATCTCATTACATATAAAATTATATTATTTGCATACACATTGTACACACATACATATACTGCTTACAAATTTGCATATATTTATTTGATGCACAAAAACAAGGATCTTTTCAAATTTGCTTTAAAAAATTTACGCGCAACTCATAGTCAAATGTTCAATCAATTAAACAAAAAAAAAACAACAAAATGTATACACATTCTGACACACATGCATATCAGCGCTTAAAACAAAAGAAATAATAAAAACATGCGAAATAGACACCTTCCTAAATTTCATAAAAACAAACTACAATCCAAAACAAAAAAACATACAAGCAAAACAAACAAATATCATAGAGCAAAAGCATAGAAAAGTACACACGCAACCTAACAAATGAAACAAGTATACACATTTCTAAATACATATTTTTGATCACTGCACAATACAGAAATACAAAAAGAAAACAGCAATATTAAATTGACAACTTCATGAAAAAAAGCAACAATGCAACATATTCAGATTTTGATTTGCGTACAAAAAAAAAATTTTTCTGCCTCTTGATCTGCTTTGAAGTTCTAATGGAACACTTCTACACACCAAATGTCAAAAGCAAAAACACGCAACCCAACAAGATACTATGAATGAGGGCGTAAACGAAATGCGGGCCACTTACAACCCAAAATCCAACCATAGTTTCGATTCGTTTATCATCTTTCAGAAGTTTCAATGCTTTTTCTTCTCTAGATTATTTTTGCAAATTACACGTAATTTGAAATTTGGTTTTTAATTTCAATTGTGCCTGTAATTTAGAAACTAAATTACAAATTACGATTATACTGTAATTCGTAATTGAGGTTTTCAATTAAATTACACATATAATCTGGAAATTCAATTATCAATTAAATTACTCAGTAATTTATAATTGAGTGTAATCTAATTACAAATGTAATCATTACTGCACAGCTTTGATATTTCAGGCCTATTCTGAATACTCCCAGCGAAAAAACTCCCTATTCGCACGCTGTTCCCGAACACACAGCTCCCTTATTCTGAATCGCTAGGGAGACAGCAGTTTCGTGAACAACAACAATTTCAAATTTGTTTTGTTAAATTTTGGCAACCATGCCACTTTTTAATGACGAAAAGTGAGAAAATGAGCAAAACAAAAAAAACATTTGCGTATCATATGTTGATTTAAATGTTAAAATCGCATTATTTGTTTGCTGCACAAATTATTAGAAATAAATATAAATAAGTGATTAAGTGAATAAGTGATTAATGAAAAACTTTTATTTTAATGAGAAAAATAAACTTATAAAAAGAATTGTGCAGTTGTTGGTGTTTATTTATATAAAAAATTGTTAAAAACTTTAAAAATGCATTCAATTGCATTACGAATATTAGCAGAGGATTTGGCTCAAGAACATGAGCAAGAAATTTTGAAACAGAGGATCAATCGGAGAAACTTGAGAGACGCAGCAAATCCACTTGAGCTGTCTAATTTCTTGTAAGTACAAGTGTAAATTTAATTTGGTTTTAAAATAAACTTTTTTTCATTATAGATTTCAAAAATATTACAGAGTAAATAAACCAGCATTTATTTACCTGTTAGAGGAACTTACTGAGGAACTACAACCAGCAAAGAAGCAGTTTGCAGTTGCTCCAATTGTGAAATTGAGCGCTTGTTTGCGTTTCTTTGCTGAAGGAGCTTATCAGACATCAGACATTAAATATCACATTAAAATATATTCGAAAAATTTATTATTATTGGTTACTTAAATGCTAAATTTAACTCTTTTCTAAATTTTTAACTAATTAAAAAAAACCTTACGTTATGATATCAATTCTTCAATGTCTTTATTTTTAAACATTCACTGCTTTTATATAAAATTTGCGTAAATTATAATTTACTTTTTTTATATAATTAGGATAGAAATGTCCTTCATGCTTCAATTAATGAACTAATAATAGTTTATACCTGTGCAGATCTTACAATAAAAAAGAAGCAATGTTTTACCTGCACATAATTGCATAATTTTAACTTATTCTAGGAATCCATTTATTTCAGAATTTGGTTTCGTTTCATTTTTCTATTGTTTTAAAAACAATAGTTAACACTTTAATTAATGGAAAAAACCCGTGTGAATAAAATAAATAAATAAAAATTTAAATATTTCAAATTTGTTATACTTTTATTAAAATAATAATTTTTATAAAATATATTAAATGAAAATTTTGTTATATTAAATTTATTAAAATATATTCGGAAAACTAATCAAAAAATAAAACTTTGAAAATATTAAATTTATTGTAATAATTTTATTATAATAATAATTTTATTAAAATATATTCAAAAATCTGATCATTTTCAGTTACTTTTATATTAAATTAAACCACTCTTAATACTTTTTTAACTTGTGTCTCCAACAATTTGGTAGGGAGAGAATTTGTGCAAAATTAGGAAAAAACTCCCATTCCCATGCGATTCAGAATAGGGGAATTGGGAACAGGGAACATACCAAATTTATTCAGAATAGGGGAATTGGGAACAGGGAACAAACTCCCATTCCCTTGCGATTCAGAATAGGCCTGATTATATACACAGAAAGCTATAAGTTTTAAGAAATACTCATTTTTCGAATTATTACACATATTTTTTTTTATTTATTCAATTATACAAATCTTAATTTTTAATCGTTAACGTATCTTCCATATTATCACCAACATTTGTACTAGATCCTATATTTCATTAACCATAGAATCCAAATCCTGGACGACCGAAACCACCACCAAATCCTGGACGACCGAAACCACCACCGAAACCTGGACGTCCGTAATAGCCACCTCCGAAACCTGGTCTACCAAAGCCACCGAAACCACCTCCATAGTAAGGATTGTAACCGAATTGTCGTTTATTTCTGATCAATTCCTGTTGATTTGATTCTTCAGCTACAGCCAAAGCACACAGGATGGCTGCAATGATGGCAAATACAATAAAAAAACGCATCTTTACTACTCGTTTGTTACTTTTAATTCACTTCAATAATTTTTTGAAGACTGTTCCATTCACAAAATCTTTCACATCTTTTTATACACAAAATTTGTTTGGAAATTTTCAAAAAGCACCACTCAAGAACAAACAAAACAAACTTGTTGTGACATAAACAAACTTTAACACAGATTACGCATCCATTTCAGTAACATAAAAAATATCTAAACAATACTGAATTTACCATAAAAATAGAAAATTTCATTTCCGTATTTTTTAGCTCTAAGCCACACAATGAGACTATCTTAAATCAATCATTTAATCTGCCTCCGATTTCATTCTAAATTCCCAAAAATTTGTAAATTATTCCACAACAAGCCCGGCTCTTTGGAAACCCGTTTTTCATGCTGACTGATGCTCAGCAAACGGGCTTAGTATTGCAAAGTTAATACTATGTGATTGCTTAAAAAAAAATACACACTCGAATTATGAGACTTTAATTAAAATTTATTAATTTAAGATTACAAAAACAACAGATTTTTTAATTTTAAATAAAAATATTAGAACAAAATATTCAAAATTGCTTGCACATGTAAATAAAACATTTATCAAGTCGAATAAATCGAATATGACTCATTATTGATCGGTTTTTGGAAATTTCATGTTTAAATATATTTATTTAAGTTATTTTAATATATTCAAAACAAAATTACGCTAAGCGCTTAATCGAGTTAATATGTTTCGTAATAAATATCGAAGAGATCAAGAGTAATTTGTTTAGTGACACTACAAGACCTTCAACTTGAACTTCAGAAATAGAAGTCGCGAGTTAAAAAAATAACCAAAACAAACCTTGGGGTTTCTACTGAATTCTACTCAAGATTAAATAAATTAGCAACAAGATTTATATTTATATTGCCTATAAAGATCTCCGAATAATCAAAACTTAAGCGTCACTATTACCTCGTCACCATATTACACATTTTAAAATATCTTAGATACAAAAAAATTAAAAAAAACAAAAAGCAAAATATACTTAGTCATTAAAACTATTTTTACGACAAAATAAATTCAATGATAAGAATTTTGTGTACTTAAATTAATAGGCTCTCAGTACTAGGCCTTGTAAACAAAGTGTTGTTTGGAATGAAATATGTAGTGGTAATATTCTATGCCATGTCTGGTACTCTCCGCATTATCTGTTATTTCTAGTATTATCTGTTATTTCTAAAATAAATAATGGAAAGTAAAATACAGCCTTTTATTTTTTTCCAAACAAAAATAGTCTACTTGGTAATAAAATTATATTTTTAGATCTGGAACTATAAAGGAAGATGTTTACATGATAGAAAAATACTAGGATTTTTTTTGTATATAAGAACTAAGTCATTTGATTGCCATGTGTTATTCGCTCTTAAAAAGGAAAACCCAATGACCATTTTCTTCACATTGTTAATTGCCACATATTCGTTCAGTTTAGACACCTGGTCCGTGTGTGATGTAAAAGGTAATCTGTCGAAAATAGATCCTATATACTGTTGTTGTTTGCTAAATAACATTACCTTTTTAATTATAAGCTCGATATACAATTTATATCTGAAATCAATGAATGAATGAATAAATATGTTGATTTATATATGTCAAATAAAAGTCTTATGCATTGTGATTAAATATGACTAGTCTACTGATCAATAATAAGTGGCTTCTCCACTGAATTTAGTGACCACAAAAAAGTATCTCTAAAAGCTTTTCAGCTTCATAAAATGCTCGAAATCGTTTCCAACAAATAGATAGGCAAAAAGAATTTTAATGATTCAGAGTACAGATCACAGTACATTTTACTCTGTAACTGTAAAAAACAATATATATATATATTGAACCCTTTAAGTCCTAGAAGGAGATCTTCCACTAGTAGCTAGTAGCTTCGTCTCTCCCGCAGCTTTTCCGCATGTGTAACATTTTTATATCAATTCGCCTTCTACAAGTGTGTGCAGGTCTGCCCCTTCTTCTGCTATCCATCGGGTTCCACACAATCCTCATTCTTGTGTCACCAGTCGATCTACAATAAACAATATAGCACAACAATAAGTTGTCAAAGGGACTCAAATTTGAACTGTGTTGATAACATTTATAAAAAAAATAACTAAAACAATCATAACATAAAGGAAACCACTGTTTTTTCTTGAAAAGCTAATTACATAATGGTGTTATATTAAAGCATCCATTAGTTCTACTTTCTATAAATTATATTTCTTATAAATTCTTTTGTCATAAAATGTATATATGTTATGCTATCGATACCGATAAACATTGAAATGTGATTTCCCAAACATTGTACATGATTTATTATGTCACATAAACAAAACCTAAACTTCCGTTTAAATGAAAATCGAAGGTAGAAAAAAACCCAAAATGCACATACAATATTCTGGAATTACAACTAAAAGCCTTGAGATCAATGTTACATATCCCATTCCCCCTTTTAACACCCACTACACACTTCTCAACGGTTAACATTATTTTCACACACCTAAGCACTCTCTAAAATACGATGTAGTTTAACTTCATAATGGCCACTTTCATTTCATATGGTCACTCCATTGTCATGGCACATACGGACATTTTTTTTATTATGATTTTTATTCATTTTTTATTCCAGAAAATGTAATTCCACACAATCGAAGTAGTTTGCCTTTACTTCTGCCTTAACGAAATTGTTTTTTATATGTGCAATGCGCCACTTCAATGTCATTGCTACCCATGCCATCTCTCACAGCCGCCCAAGTATGCACCTCAATGGACATCGATAGCCTGGCTTGGTTAAGGTTTTAGCTTAGGGAATTTGTGTGTTTGTATAGTAAATACCTCACACCGTATATCAGCCGCAGGAATGTAAGTCCTTAATCAATTTCTGTTACGATTGTGTAGCATTTTTGCACTACTGAGCATGCATCTACGTAAAGGAAATTTATTGATTGGAACTGTTTTTATGCGTTTCCTTCTGCTTTTGCTAAATTAACTTGAGGTTGTGAGAAAAATTCCCAACAACAAAGCACAGATAAAAAAGATACTCCAACAACAACAACAACAACATACAGTAACTTCAGGTGCTTTTTAGCAAGTTATTTTGGTTAGTCGTGCAGTTTTCGACCACAGCCACCATAAAAAAGCATCTAAGCGAGGGTGCTTCAATTGACATTTAAGATGACACAATGGCTGGTGTGGCACTATGGCACTATGGCACTTTAATTTATATGAATTGCCTCTGCATGACATAAACAGGAATGCAAGAATTTGTCGATTTATTGTCTACTTTATTTGCAATTCGAATGCATGAAATTGTTCATTGTTTTGCTTAAATTAGTTTTTTACGGAAGCTTTACACTTGAAGTCACTAAAAGGTAAGTGAAAGTGAATAAATAATATTTACGACACCTACAAGATAATTTCTTTAATTTAAGCTAACGTAAATTTTTTATTATTTCAAATAGGATTTACCAAGGAAATCAAAAATAATGTGTACTATATCTACTGTAATAACAGAAAATATATAGCTAATAATAGTTTAATTATGTTCAAATATAACTTCAATGTTAATGTAAGTTATAAAAAATAACTAATAACGCTAACATATTTATTGAAGTTTTCAAGAAATACCTTCTGCTCAAAAAGTACTTGGATTTTGTAAATAAAATACAAATTTAAATTTTATTCTACATTTATTTTATCTCCTTCAAAATATGCTCCTTCTGAAACGATGCACATATGCCAACGCTTAACCCAATCTTCCATACACTTTTCGTAGACCCGTGCAGGTATGGCTTTTAGTTCCTTCGGTGAATTCTCTTTTACCGATTCAATCGACTCAAAACGCTTATCACGAAGGGGCAATTTGAGTTTCGGGAAAAGGAAAAAGTTGCACGGATCCAGATCTGGCGAATATGGTGCCTGAGCAATGATAGTGATGCCGTGTTTGGTCAAATAATCGTGTATAACAAGAATTTTCCATAGTAAAAATCGTTAAATGCACTTGAGGTAAACTCACATTAACAGCTGGTGTAAACAAACTAATTGACAGATGACGCTTAAATTTGTACCACATGTCAAAAAAGGGTGTACCAACATAAAAAAAGGTCTATTACTTAAGGAGTAGTTAACAAACAACAAAATCCGGAAGGTATTGAGTCGTACAAAACAAGATTTTGTTTGTTTCCAAGAGCTTAATTGTATTTTTTTCACAACCAACTTTACACTTAAATCACATAAAAATTATATATTTTGACAGCATATATAGCAAGGCTAGCTTATGAAAAAACTCTATTGAACTAAGCAGAACTTCTTAATTAGTGCTATTTCAAATATGGAAAGCATTTAAGGCATACATATATTGCTTTTTACTATCAAAAAAGTAAAAATCCTGTTAAACAAAAAAAAATTATCCGATGAAAGAAAAACGCTTCATCACTTTAAAAAAGTAATGGGTTGTCTTCTACAATGATAAGTGCAAGAGATTATTGAGTCAAAAAGATAAACCAGCCAAATCACTTCGAAGCCGATATTTGTTTGTTTAGAAGGATTTCAAAAGAAACGTTTATTAAAGCTTTTACCGGACAACAAACCAATCAATTTTGAAGTATGTGCCATCACTTAACCAAATTGAATGATTCCCTGAAACAGAAAGTGCCAGAATTACGTTATAAAAAAAACATACAATGTTCCTAGATTTTTCTAGTGTAAAAAAAAAGATATAGCGAAACTCCTTACAAGTTTGGTAAGTCGTCAAAAGCTTTTACAGTTTGTATGGGATATACTGCCACAGCCACCATATTTTTCAGGTTTGGCACTATTTGAAAATTTTTAATTCTTGTCCCTACAAAATTTTTTCGGTCCAAATAAGGCAATCATCCGAAAAATTCAATTGAATCAGCTTTTTGGCAGCAAGGAAGAAAAATCTTACAAGAGTGGAATTACGATACTGCTAAATAAATGGACACTATCAAACAGCCATGCATTTTTATAAAAAAAAGACAAGTATTAGATCAAACTTCTTAGAAAAAATATACTAACGCTATTATAAGGACTAGTTTTAAATTCAA